AGACGGCGGTGGCGGCGGCTAACTCCAACTAGCAGCTCCCGCCGCGCCTGCCAGGCGGCACTGAAAGGAGGGAGGTGGCCGGCCGGTGCCAGGCAGGCGCAGTGGCCTCTCCTCGCCCAACGGCTGCGGCCCCTCCCCCAACTCTCCCAACCAATGGGAAGACAGAGAAGTCTCCACCTTCTTCCCGCGGCTAGTAATTAGATGCAGGCGGGGAAGAACCAGATTCCAGCCACGCCCACCTCCCTGCAGACCCCTCCTCCCCTTTGCTTTCCTTTGACTCTCGCAGCTGGCTGCAGAAATCCGGGTGTCCGCTAGGCTCTTGGCTGAATCTTGGGGTGGTCCGGATCTTTGCCACCCAAATTGGACAGCCCTCCCACCACCGGTGCACGCGCTCTCTTACATATTCCCTCTTGGGTGTGGTTGTGTAAAGGTGAAGTTTCGCTCCTGCTGACTTCATGGAAACATCCATGTAATTTCCTTGGGAGCAATCCAGAAGTTCTGCTAGGAATGTAAAGGCAAAGTCTGCAAGTGGAGCTTGGTTGCTGGTGACTTCACAGACAGGGCCATGTAGGAAAATGGTTTGTAATTCATTCTTCCAGAAAGTTTTAATCTGGAGATGTACCAGCAAGGTACATCTTTTCTATCTTCTAGCAAGGTATCTCTTTTCCTATCTCCTTAGTTTTTTGAAATAGGTTATAAATTAATGCCTCCTTTATACTATTACAAAGGGGATTTTTTTTCTCAGTTGACCCCCAGCTTTGACATGCTTTCTCCAGTTAGGTATTAGCTAGGCTATACCATTTGAGCCAAGCATTTTAATTCGTCAAACACTTCCATCTGCTTTTGTATTAGAAAATTGTTACAGCCCTCTATTATTAAGGCTCTTGGATAACAAACAGTTTTAAAATTCCGGTTTTTTTAAAGGAATTGATTATGTATGCAAGAGCTCACCCTGGTGTTGCATATGAGGAAAGGCAGAACAGAAATGTTTTATAAATTAATAAGGCATCACCCATGTATTCTGGCTTCTACTCCTTGATTCCTGGATCAGGATGAATATGAATATTGGTGTTTCCTTTTTCACATTACACATGCATATCTGCTGCTTTAAAATTGTGTGGGATTAAAGTGCCCTGTATAAACACCACTGAAGATGCTTTAAACTCTATGGCTCGAATACATTGCAGTATTCTTCCCCAACTTAATGTCTTCCATATTGGTTAGGACTACAATTCCCAGAATACCCAGCCAGCACAGGGTTGGCTGCCCTACAGACAAGAGAATCCATACAGTTTAATTTCAGTCTGAGGTGATCACGAAAATTCTGATTTAATACCACAGCATCCACTGAAGCGAGCCTGTATACAGATGTGAGAAGTCAAGGCAGAATTCACCATACTGATGAAAACTGGATGTTTTTTAACACTTCAGGAAAATCAACTACAACGATGATCTTTTGTTTTAGTCATAGACTGGCATAAGATAACATAAAACTTCAAGGATGTAACCATTACATTCATTTCAGCAGGAACTGAGGCTTACTTTTACTAACCTAATATAAAATTTTACAACTCTAAGTTGTATGAATGAAGGTGTAGTGCTAACACCAATCTGAGCAATGAAGCACAAGCTAACTGTAAAATACAATGATTTAAAAGGGCTAATAGAAACTAATAAAATATATGTCTAAAATTAGAGATTTACTATCAATTTAGCTGTACAATATAAAAGATAAAAGTCTACATTTTTTTTTCAAAATTTTCAAAATTGGCTAAACGTTATTCTTAATTTTAAAAATCAGCAGTATTATAAAGCACCACTCTTCTCTCTTCCTGCCTCCCTCTGTCTAAAGTTTTCAGTCTTTTAACAGAAAAAATTGAAGCCTTGAAGACCTGGCTTTATGTCCAGGCCTGGGGCCCCGAGTGTGTGAAGGACCCCAATTCACGGTTGTGTTGATACCAACGGTTTTCTAAGATCTTTTGACTGCATATTATATTTCATTTTTGTACTATTTTTTGTACTGTTTTTAATACTGATTGTTTTTATTGTTGTTAGCCGCCCAGAGTCACTGGTCTGAGATGGGCAGCTATATAAATTGAATGAATGAATGAGTGAATGAATGAATGAATGAAATATGGATAATTTCAGAGATCATATTAGTTTATTCTTAATTGCCTATACAGAGTTTGGAACGAAAGAAATCAGTTTTCTATCTTTTTCTACCTTTTAGTTTGTATGGCATTGTGTCTTGCTAAAACACTACATGAAGTTGGTATTTATTTATGTGATTAATACCCCGAAAACTCATCACATATAGCCCCCCAGCACCCATGGAATAAACAATAAACAAGATTACCTTACTGTTCCTGTGAATGTATGTATTAAATAGTTCATCTTCCAGTCAGCATGTGAGCTTAAACATTGCTTTGGCTTAGACAATTTAAAACTATCACTATTTTAAGGATTTATGTCTTGTCCTTTCAAAATGTATGACTCCCCAAGTTGAGCCCAAGCTAGCCAGGCAGCCCTATATCTCATTCCTCCAGAAACTAGACAAACCTCTTGAGTGGCCTGGCTCCATAAAATCAGAGATATTGGCATCCTTCTGAAACATGAAATGACCCTGCTGTTAAAGTTTTCAGCTTCAAAGGTGAAGGGACACATAAATCAAGTCCAACTCCTGATTTTTGGCTAGATTTTTCTAACAATGATGCAGAAGTACTTTGCTATTCCTTTTTTTCAGGATGCTTTTTGAACTTCTAGCCTACAATCTTGCCTGGGATTTCCTGCTTGTCTCCCATCAAAATATAAGCTAGCTGGCTTCCTTTGAGTTCAGTCAAGATCTAGGTCTGCCATAGATTGGTTTCAGCTTGGTGGAGCATAGCTAGCGGCGCAGTTTGATGGTTGGATAATGGGAATAAATACTGCTTTGCTGGCAGTATATGTTATTCAGTTGTAGGAAAGATGTACTTGTAAAACAGATTAATGAATGAAATAAGCAACCATCACCATATACTTGCTCAAAAGAAGAAGAGTTGCAGTGATCAGTATTTATTGCTGTCCCTGGCCATTCTTAAGTCATTTGAATCCCTTCCCCGGGACCTGGAATCTTGGAATTTGGCCTAGAAATCCAACCCTAGTTGGACCACTGATAGCAAAGTACAGAAGCGTGGCTTGTATCTTCAAAAGCGCACCACTCTATACTTCAATTCTTGTTTCTCTTCTCCATTATTTCATTGGTCCTCCTTCTTCAGTCCTCTCCCCTACCTGCTATGGGCTGCATAATGATAATTCACAATTGTATAAACAGTATTTAAAATAATTTGACAAATACTCAGAAAACCAACTAACTACATTAGACAGAAGTAATTCATTTTCAAAGATCTGATACATTTCATGAGCAAATTCTAAAAGGAGAGCCATGTTAGTCTATGGTGGCAACAAAACAGATGGAGTTTGGTAGCCCCTTTTCTGACTAACAATTTCATTCATTCATTCATTCATTCATTCATTCATTCATTCATTCGATTTATATGGCCGTCCATCTCAAGTACATGACTCTGGGCAGCTAACAACATTAAAAAAGATAAAGGCATATATAAAAAACATAAAACATACAGCAGCTGGGGAAAAAAGCCATCTTCAAGGCCTTACAGAAGGCCAAAAGTGATGGGGCCAATCTGATCTCTGGAGGAATGATATTCTAGAGGGAGGGTGCCATGACAGAAAAAGCTCTCCTCCTGGGTCCCACCAGCTCAGACTCCTTAGCTTTTGTGAGCTGTAGCTCAGTACATCAGATCCATTAATCAGATGCATCATTATTGCATCTGATGAACTGAGCTGTAGCTCATGGAAGCTGATGCTTTTTAATTAAATTTGTCAGTTGGAAAAGAGGCTACCAGACTCCTCGTGATTTCATGAGTAAATGCTTCAGACAATAAGAGGGAACTAATTTCACACTACTGTTGTTTGCTATGCTTGAATCTGTCCAAAACAACCAACTGGTCCTAGCCTATCATTTTCACTGTTAAGGCCATTAAGTAGCCTAAATGGTACTGGCAAAAAAAAAAAAACTAGGGAAGTATAAGTAAGCTTGGAAGATGGGCAGGGTCTGCAGAGGTTCAAAAAACATTTAGGACCTTGCTGGCTTCCTTGCTGTCATGAAGCAGTTTTGTGATGATTGAGCACATTCAATGATTACTTATAGCAAACTATCTGACAGTTGAGGAACATATGGAAGGACAGTCATCCATGGAACTCCAAACAGAAAATTCTCCCCATGTTGTGACGTTTTGTTGCTGGTCCTGTTTGTACAGTAATATGTTATATGGACTATCAGGTCATTGGGTCTATTTTAGAGACACTATTACTTAGGCCACTAAGTCTCCCACATACCTCCTTCATAGATTCTCTTTTCCAGTTTCCCTTCCCATCTGTGTAGTGAAGACTTCTCCAGTCTGATAACCTCTTGCTGGATATCAAATCCCATAAACCCCTTATGATGATTGGCTACAGATTATGGCAATTAATCCAGAATGCCTGTTAAGTGGTAGAAACTTTTTCTGATCTCTTCTTTAAGTATGAATAGGAAACCATGTATGATATAGTAAGTATTTCTTGAACTTTATTTGTTTCTATATTGTCTTATGGCAATGATTTGTTACCCCCAACAGTTTGACATTAAGTTCTTCCACTGATACTTCCTTTATATTTTTCAGTAGTAATGATGATTTAAGATATTCTTAACAGCCTCTGGAAATATATTCATGACTCAAATTGCTTCACATGTATTTACACTGCAAATGTCTTATGTCTAATTGCTAACTGCCTTTCCTTTGAATTGGAATTCTGGCGATGTTTGAATGCATAGCAAAAGCAATATTGCTACTTAACAGATAATATTAATTTGCTTTAATATATTGACTGTAAAATAATATTTGGACTTTAAAGAAATAGGATAGGAATACCTGGCCTTTGAGACCCAGAGTTC